TCTCTAAGCCTCACTTAAAAGCTACCACTTGGCAGAAGATCAAGTCAGAAGTGCAGGATAGCAGGTGATGGTGAGGGTAGGGGCGGGTGGGGAGGGCGGGGTGGAGCAAATAATTGAAGCTCCGAGAACTACCAGCTCAATATTTAACCTAACTGGTAATTTGCTGTGACAATTATGCCACGAACGGAATACCACTACTATGCAAGAATGTTGCTTTCTAATTAAGAAAGCCCTGCTTTTCCTAGCCTCCCCGCACTTGAATAACACACACAAAAGGAGACTCGGCTCCAGGAGCTAAAGTTTTGAATAGGAGGCATGTGCAGCTTGGCCGGGGTGTGCACATCCGCCAACGGGGAAGCCAGCTAACACCTTCAGATGGAAAAGGCCAGAGAGCCTTGGGGGCCTCTCACAACACGAGAGCCGTTTGACTGACAGGCATCTTCCCTGGGAGCCTGTGTGCGTGCTTTCACTGCAAATGGATGAGCTTTCCCACCGCCCGGCTCTCCAACCAGGAAGGCTCGGCAAGGGTTTGATCCATCAAGAGTAACTTTAATAAGGATATTCATAAAAAGTCCACGGCAACGAGTCTTCAAGATGGAGAGGAAGACGTGCATAAACACCCTAACCGCTGGCAGAAAGACAAAAGAATATTATTAAAATCATAGCCGTAAAGAAGGATGTTGCCATCTTCTAAATTGACTGCTAGATTCATGGAACATGGCTAAGCAAGACAAACCGTTTTCTGCTTAATTAGTGGCTCCTTTATGGAAGGTTTGCTGCCTGGAGAGAGCCCATTAGAGGTGGGGAGCTCTTTACAGGAATGCACCTTCGAAAGCTATTCAAATTTTAAATAAATGATGGAGAGAGAAATTGGTGGTGGTGGTGGTGGAGTGGGAGGGTAGAGGTTTGCTGTGGAGACAGAAAACTTCCCCAAAAGACCAGCTTTACATTCCAAGCCTAAGTGCTTTGGAGATCAGCTTTCCGAGGCAAACATAAGCCTCTAAAATTTTAGGCCAATAGAAATGACCTCTGTACCATGGCTGACTGAAGATATAAATAAACTTCAACATGAACAGCAGTGTCAACTGTGAGAGGGGAGATGAGAGCCCAATCCGAGCTTATTTTTAAAAAGTCCTGGTTGTTCTGACTGCGTTTCGGGGGGAGGACATTCATGGACACAAAGCTGCCGCTCCCTGCAGTGAGCTCTACTGCTTTCCCAGCACCAGCCCCTGGTTACCTAACCAAGGAATGGAAGCTGCCCCACACAAGTTAAATATAGGCTGAGTTATCTGCATTTTACAAGCACCAAGAATGTTAACTGAGGAAGCTGTCATTTTTTATGACAGCACAAACTTCCAATTACCAACCGGGTAATACCCCAGGGAGCAGGTATGATTTCATAAGAATGGCTCAAAATTATTAAAAGTTTACACGATTACTTTTGAATTGGATATATCTCACGAGGCAGGTGGGATTGTTTTTCACGTGGTCTGTATTCAAGGATGAAAAAGAAATACGGAAAAGTCTACTTTTTCTGAGATTTATCAAGAGCTAAGGACCTGGGAGCAGTCCAAGGAGACAGCTATCAAGAGCCTGGCAAAGCTGGAGGGCTGCAAAAATGGCCAGGTGGTGGGTTGGGTCTCAGCCACAAGTTCAGGGGCAAGTCATAAACTCATGTGGCTTGCAAGCCCAATGCAAGAAAAGATATGCGTGCTCAGTCATGTCCAATTCTTTGCAGCACTATGGACTGTAGCCCTCCAGGCTCCTCTGGCAAGAACACTAGAATGGGTTGCTATTTCCTTTTCTAGGCGATCTTCCTGACCCAGGGATCGAACCCACGTTTCCTGTGTCTCCTGCATTGGTAGGTGGATTCTTTTCCACTGCACCACCTGGGAAGAGTTACGGGCCTGGCAATAGATAGTACAAGCAAGTCCTTCTATACCAGCCATGGTCAAACATTACTTCCACAGGAACCCTGTTTCCTTTGATGCTGCTACTGCTGCTACTGCTAAGTCACTTCAGTCATATCCAACTCTGTGTGACCCCATCCCTGGGATTCTCCAGGCAAGAACACTGGAGTGGATTGCCATTTCCTTCTCCAATGCATAAAAATGAAAAGTGAACATGAAGTCGCTCAGCCATGTCCGACTCCTCGAGACCCCATGGACTGCAGCCTACCAGGCTCCTCCGCCCATGGGATTTCCCAGGCAAGAGTACTGGAGTGGGGTGCCATCGCCTTCTCCATCCTTTGATGCTACTTAACTCTAATGGCATCTACGTAGCTTCATCTGCCAGTGGTTACTATAGAATGAATAGCTGTTAGCAGGGGTTGTACGCATTTTCCATATAAATCAGACAGCCCCTGATCTAAATGAAGGTTACAATTTGTGAGTCTCAAATCACCTAATTCTTTGTGAAATTTTTTCTGATGACTTGAGTCTCCAGTGATCTCGCCATCTACTGAATTTTAATTTGAGTTGTGATACTACTACTTAGCCCCAAGCCTTGCTCCAAATAGACTGCAGTTCTTGGGGACAAGGTATTTTGATGTAAAGTCACCTAGGGGAATTCCCTGGCAGTCCAGTGGTTAGGACTCCATGATTTCACTGCTGAGGGCATGGGTTCAGTCCCAGGTCAGGGAAGTAGGATGCCACAAGCCATGCGGTGTGGCCAAAAAAAAAAAAAAAAGTCACCTAGAGGGAGAAAATGGCACAGGTGGTCAATGAAGACAGGTGCTATGTACTTTTCTCAATGACTTGAAACTGCCATCCCAAATATAATGAAAAGATTTTAATAATCATTCCTCATTAGCTTTAGATAAGAAGCAGGTTAATTTGGGACTTCTCCGGTGGGCCAGTGGTTAAGAGTCTGAGCTTTCAAGGCAAAGGGTGCAGGCTCAATCCCTGGCTGGGGAACTAGGATCCCATATGTCATACAATGTGGCCAAAAAAATTTTTTTTTGAATCAGGTTGATTTATAAAGCAAGTCAGATGTTTCAAAAGGCCATTTCTAATAGAAAACAAGAGGATTCAGGCCTCTTCTTGGCCACAACCATGTCCATGTGGTAGGCAGGAGGAAGCCACCATGGCTCCAGCCCTCTTCTCCTAAGTCAACCACCTGCTTTTGCTCCAGAGGATTCTAGTGCCTGCTCGAACCACCTGCCAGCTCTTGATGGTATACAAGAGGAGTTCAGAGGAGCTCTTACTGAACGAAGGCAAAGAAAGCACAATCAGATAAACGTACAGAATAAGGAGAGAGGCACACAGTCTCACAGTGGAGCAAAGGAGAATATTCTTGCCCATCAAAAGCTCAAAAGCTGAGTTTTTAAAATACAATGAGAAAGTATATGTATACCTAAAGTTAATGGACTTCCCTGGTGGTCTAGTGGTTGACAGTTTGCCTTTCAATGCAGGAGATGCGGGTTCAACCCCAGGTTGGTGAACTAAGATCCTATATGCCCCAAAGCAAGTAGAAAAAGCCAGTGCACTGCCACGAGGACCCAATGCAGTCAAAAAAAGAAAACTAATGCAATGTTATATGCCAATTAGGTCTAAATAAAAATAAAACTTTAAAAGTTAGAAAATATGCACATCCGGTAGGAGAATTGGCTCAATAAACTTAGCCATGCACACACATAGCCAAATGCCAATTAAAATTATGCAGATTTACAAAAAAATAATGTAGATCTATTTTTATTGAAACAGGAAAGAGGTCCATTCTTTAGTGCTAGGAGCAAAGTATTACAGAATAATATGCATAATATAATCCCATTTTCAAGCTAAAACTATAATTACACACATACATGCAGAGAGAAAAGTAGTCAGCTATACAAGCAATTATTGCTGACAGGCAGGATTAAGGACAATTCTGTTTTTTCTTGTCTGCAGGTTATTTTTTCTACAATGAACATGGATTACTTGAGTTAAGAAATAATCAATGGTCCAAATAGTACCCATTCTTTTTTTATTGACATTAACAATACTTATCAGCTTAATAATAAAACATACTCAGTTGGCTTCTTTTTCAAAACAATGAAAATTAAACATCTAAAGTCTTTTTTGAGAGGGGGAAAAAAAATTATTCTCAAAAGTGTTTCTGAAAGCCATAGCTTATAAAACTAAGAGCTAACAAACCACATAAAAGAGGATGGGTGGGAGCCCTGGGGGGTTGGGGGGGGGGGACGGATATTCTCTTTGGGATAAGGAAATAATCAATTTACCAGGGAGGAGTAGTGGGTTTCTAACAAGTGACAAGAAGAGACTGAACAACCAGTTTCATTTTCTATAAATAAAATCTGAGAAGGCATATTGCCAAACAAACACAAGTCAATATCTAAACCTTTATATACTGGGCTACCAAACTTCACTTTTAGACAGTATATTAATTATGTAGTCAATAACTATGGGTTTCATTAGGGTATTAAACACCATAATCGATATTATTTATACTTTTCGAAGATGGGCCACTCAGGAAAAAACGTGGGGGAGGGGAAGTTTTTGATCCTGAAGTTCAGAAAGTCAGAATGAGCACACCAGAGATTAGCAAGGCCTTAATGGAAAGCATAAAACACAGAAAATATGGACAGAAATCAGATTATTACCCTTTCTTCCCCCCTGCCTCCATCACAATGAGACTGGAAGGGATCCAAGAGCCATTTAAAATAAAGATGAAATGATTAGATTTTTCCCTAATTGTCTAATGCTGATGTCATGGTGTACGCAAAATAAACATTGATCTCTAAGTGAAAGATGAGAAATAGAATATGAACAGCCTTTCGAGGTTAAACTATCTCCAAGAGAATTCTAAGAACTGTGGGCCAGAATCTATTTAGGCGACCCTCAGGGACCTGAGGCTCTTAAAAGCCTAACAGTGGAGCCAATTTCTGATGCTCCTCTGCCGGGGATCTGCCTTTTAGAGGGGAATCTGCTCGACATGCCCCCTCGAGGGAGCCGCCCCATCTCAGAGCATCCCCCTGTGGGTGCCTAATCACATCCGCGGAGATGTGCTGGTGTCACCGCGTGGCCGTGGAGAACACACAGTGGCTGGTCCCGTGTTCCGGGAGGCGCATCGGGGTCACGCTGCCCGTCGGTGCTGTTCGCGGGGTGGGAGCCGTGATGGGGAGAGGAGGGGATGCTGGGAGCAGTAGATATAAAAGACTGGTTACCAGGCTGAAAGCTAGATTGCCACTTCCAACCCACAATTTGTCAATCCACCATACGCTGAAGACTGTAATCTTCCAGTCAGCGCTTTACGAGCAAGGTCAGACAGAAAGGAGGTTCCGTAAAAAATCGCTGAGGCCTTGGCCGGCGAGTCAAGTGCGGCCCAGTGGCCATCTTCTGAGACTAGACCATGTCCAGACAATTAAGAGGGCGTGGGAGAAGGCCATCCTAGGTTCTGAGCCGTTTAGTCATCCTGCCTGACGCCAGCTGGTTCCTCCCGGAAGAGGAAGGCCAAGGATGACAGGTAGGACGGGCTCATTCCCCAGGTCTAGCGAGGGCCTCCATGAGCCACGCTCGCCCAGATTAAAAACCAGCGCCCAGCACGACAGGAAGACTGCAATGGTGCCTGGATGCTTGGAGTGAGGTGTGCTGCAAACGCCAAACGAGGGGCTGCAGCGACCGGATAGATAATTAATATGATTAGGAACACACAGAGCAAGCATGTTCTTGCCGACTGAAAAGCCCAGTAGCATAATTACTGTTTTCTTACTAGCTCACTGTCTGTTCACATTTCAAAGCCTGGTTGGTGTTAAGACCACTGTGTAAACATCAATAAAATCCCAAAGTGCCGGATCATCAGCATTCCGGGGCACAATGGCTTTTTGTTTTTGGTGTTTTCATTCTTTTAAAGATGCATTTCAAGGTTGCAGACATTAGGAAGAATGATCTCTATGCTTTGGATTAATCTTCGAGTTTATAATGAGTTAACATCTCCCCCAAGTGAACATTTATTATGAAGGCTAATTAATTGCTTTCCAGTTACAAGAACCCTTTGCATTCAAAGAAAGTGGGATACATAAGCAGAGAATAAACTGTTTATTAAACAAGGCAACGGCAACAAAGGGCTTCTCCCTTCAGAATCTCTTCTATTTAATACAGCTTTAATCAAGAAAAGAAAACATACCAATGTAAGAAATATGTACAGGTAGAAAAGGAGTACCAACAGAAATGCAACATTAATTGAAGGGGAGACGAAAGCGATGCTTTGTAGTTGCCGGGATATCTCTAGGGGACAGCAAGTCAATGCTTATCAGCCTTCCTCAGAAGAGACCATTTTGATTAATATCAGACCCATCTGACTCAGTCTATTAAACCCTGAAGGAAGGATATTCTTTAGATATAAAAGATATGACTTTGATTAATAATTCTACCCTACTGCCATTCCAGGCATTAACAACTGTGTGGCCCCTCTAGAAAGGGAGCCTTTGAAATTGAGGAAGACAGGCTTCCGAAAACACTCAAGTTCCCCCACAAAACCACTTCTCGGCACTCCCCTTGGGAACGGATCCGAGCTGAGAAGGTGTCACCACTAGAGAAGCGAGAACCCGACTTACATAATTTATTTCACTGTCTACAGATTGAGGGTCAATTACTCGTGACATAATTCCTGGTTGAAGATAATGAGATCTTAGTAAAACTGACAAAAGCCTAGACAGGGAGTGAGTGGTACTACGGTCCGCGCCGCTGACCCCGAGGTCTGACACAGTTTACACCACAGCCCCGCGAGCGTGTTTCCCTTTGCTGCCAGTGGGTTCCCAGGTGTGACAGAGGCGATGGCTTAGTCCGTGGCAGAGGGGTGCTCTGCACTGCTGTGGGTCAGGGCGGGGATGGGGGTGCAGGTGGAGGTCGGGGTTGGGGGATTCGCTTCAGCCCTCTATCCCCAAGCTCCTGCCCCATTGGCAGGCTCCTCTCACATCGCCGCATTCCTCCTGATGTTCATGATCAGCCTTCTGCCGTATTCTCTGTAGTCCACAGGCTTCACGTCCACCACCGTGGCCTTAATTCGAGACTCATCCTTTGAAAAGAGAAGCACGATTTGTGAACGAAGAAACGCCTGTGGCCATGTTCCTGGCTTCAATGATCCCAACAGGAGAAAGCACAAAGACATGCTGGGTTCAGAGTCCCATCAAGCCAGTCAAGAAGCCGTGATGACGAGCGCCCAGAGCAGGGTTTCTGGTGGAACAAAGGCCTCCCTTCCACACAGGCCCTTGAACCCATTCCTCATGGTCCCAAACACTCGGAAACCTAGACTCCAAGTGTGATGGACCGTAGAGGGCTCTTCAAGTTCAATCTGTTCTCTTTACAGAGAGAGAAATGGGAGCCCAGAGGAGATAGTGACTTGCTGAAGCCACACCGCGGGCTCTGCGAGCAGGCCGGGGGACAGGAGACGTGCTCGCAGCAGAGGCTGAAGCCTGCCTTGGCCTGTCTCAGCCCCATGAGAGGCGACCTCACTGCCCTTCACCTTCCCTGTCCATGTCGCACGGGGACCGAGCCACCCTTCCATCCCTCCCTCTCGACCACTCCCCACCCCACCCTGATACCGTACTGCTGACTTTGAGAGGTTCATTTAATGCTCACAAAACCAAACACAGCTGTTAGCAGGCATTAGGGTTAAGGCCTGACAAGAAAACAGAACGAGTAAACCCTGAAACAGCAAAGTTTTCTGAATTCTCCCGTCGCCCGTTGACTAGGTTGGACAGTGCCTTCAGAGGCAGACTGGGGTGAGGCCAGCTCAGGGCCTGCACAATCCAGCTCTGTACCTACAGAACCCAGTCAGATTTCTAAGCCTGGCTGAGCGTAGAACTCTGAGGCTGAACTGCCTGCGTGCAATTATCAGCTCTGCCACTTGCTAGCATATGAATTTAGGCAAGTTACTCAATTCTCCATATGCCTACAGCTTTTCACTGGCAAAACGGGGGGTAACAATACCTCCTCCACACAAGGTTACTGCCAGCATGAATGGAGACAAGGTATGCATATAAAGGGTGTGGAACAGTATCTGGCAGATAGTAAATACTCAATAAAGGCTGTCTTTTCATGATTTTACAATTGTATGATGTTATGAGTAATTAAAGGAATTTTCAAGGTAATTTTAACCACATGTGGTCTTTCTCTCATATACTGACTTTAGAACCCGAACCATGTGGAAGATGTGGGTCCATTTTGTCAGGACACAAACCAAAATCCCCCAGGTTTAACTGAAAAGGCCACACAGCATGTTTTCTTTGGATGTTAACACTGGACAAGACCCTTAACCTCTCTCTTGGTCGGTTTGCTCATTTGAAAACAGAGCTGGTAACAGTACCCCATGTTGTTGTGACTCAGTGAGTAGTAAACGCAGGGTGTTAAGTGTTGGGTCTGGAACACAGTAAGCGAGGAACTGACAGCTAACGCTGTAATGGGGTTGTGGGTGACAAACAGCTGATCTGTGCTGCTATCCTCATGCACCATGGGTGACGTTACTTACATTGTAGGTCTCCAGTTTGACCCTGATCCTGAACGTAAAAGATCGAAAGTTGGCATTCTGGAAAACTTCCTCAAATGCTTGCTCGTTCTGCAGAAACAAAACGTAAAACTGTAGGAATGGAAACTACCAGACCACCTGAAAATATCTGTATGGTTTTTGAAAAGACTTGGAGGAAAATCTCGGAGAAAATGATCACCTCCCAGTGGCTTGAAATTTCTTAGGAATGACTAATATACAGGTGAGATATCATCACATAAAACTGTTTAGGTAGAATTTTATTAAAAATTAAAATATTCTACCTAGAGTACTCAATTTCATACAGACAGAAAATGGAATGACGGCTGCCAGGGGCAACAGAGAGTTAGTGCTTGATGGGTACAGAGTTTCAGCCGAGGAGGATGAAGAAGTCCTACAGCTGGATGGTGGTGGCAGTTGCACAACAACATGAAGGTATTTTAATGCCGCTGAACTTACATACTTGGGCTTCCCTGGTGGCTCAGCTGGTAAAGAAGCCGCCTGCAATGCAGGAGACCTGGGTTCGATCCCCAGGTTGGGAAGATTCCCTGGACAAAGGAAAGGCTACCCATTCCATATTCTGGCCTGGAGAATTCCATGGACTGTATAGGCCATGCGGCTTCCCTGGTGGCTCAGAGGGTAAAGTGTCTGCCTGTAATGCGGGAGACCTGGGTTCAATCCCTGGGTCAGGAAGATACCCTGGAGAAGGAAATGGCAACCCAGCCCAGAACCCTTGCCTAGAAAATTCCATGAATGGAGAGGACTGATAGGCTATAGTCCATGGGGTCACAAAAGAGTTGGACATGACTGAGCGACTTTCACTCACTCACAATGATAAATTTTATGTATATTTTATCACAATAGAAAAAAACTGAAACACTCTTAGGAAACACATTTCTAAACTTTCAAAATCTGTGATGGAATAGATCTGAGGCTCAGAATCTTCTGAACAAATTAAGAATGGGTGAGGACTCAGGAAAAAAAGTTCAAGTTGTCATATATACATTATTTTAGCCTCTGGATTTACACATGTAGTAAAGTGAAGAAGGCAGGAGAAGCAGGCAAAGGTTAGGGAAGAAGTTTAAAACCCACAGTTCTCTCTCTCTCTTTTACTGGCCTCTCAGATACTATTTGATTAAGCTTCTGAATTAAGAAAATAAAAAAGTCTGGTAAACGGAGGGATTAGAGAAAGCATTTTACACAAATATGCATAAAATAAATGTAGAAGAACTTTTAATAAAATTAATAGTTCATATCAGTCAAGTATTATTTGCAAGCCACTTGGAAGATGAAAACAGCTTTGCTATATATAGAATTCTTTGTATAAAGGTTACTACACACACACACAGTCCTCAGGCTTTTGGGTATGTAAATAAAACAATGTGTTAAACCTTCAGAAAATTGTACCAGCTGCCATCATTCTTTCAAGATTAGTGAAAGCATGGAGCACATACTCCAAGAATATTATGATTCCTGAGGGGAGAGTTTCTATATGTCCTCATTCACTGGCAGTAAAACCAGTCAAATGTAATAAGCCCATAAAAAATCCTGAAAGGCTGCCTCGAGCCTTAAAAGCTGATATGAAAATAGAGGACCAGGCAAAACAGATAAAAGATACCATCATACTTTAAAGTCAATTCCAGTTATTTCTGTAAAAGGGCTTGTTGGGATTATTTTCAGAGAGCTCATGGACAATTTCAAAGAGACAAAAGGGCAGAGCTAAATGAACAGAATAGAAGACAGGAAAGAAAAAAAAAACACACACCAAAACAAATGACAAATCCTTTTTTGCTACTGGCTTTTACAAGTATCCTAACCGATTTGGAGGACAATAGGGGAGAAAAATCTATAGACAGATACTAATTTGTGTGGCCCAGAAACTATAGCTTTTATTGGTCTTTATATGTTTTATCTGAGCAAACATCTTTCTTAACTTTAGGATAATTAGTATCTAGTCCTTGAACTAAACAAAACTACTATGTGAACATACTCTTTTATAGAAATGAAATGGAGCAAGTGACCTTACGAAAGAAAGTTACTTTGTAAGAATGCATCTGACAACATGAAATAAGTACATACCTTATACATGAATTTAAACCAGGATTTGACTCAACTTCTCAGAAAAGTGTTTATCACTTTAAAAAGGCACATCAAATAAAGAGGTGGTACGGATACACAATGGAACACTACACAGCCATAAAAAAGAATGAAGTAATACCATTTGCAGCAACACAAGACACAACTAGAGATTATCATACTAAGCAAAGTCAGAAAAAGACAAACACCACAGAACATTATTTACATGTGGAATCTATGACATGTGGAAAATATGGCACAAATGAACCTATCTCGGAAGCAGAAACAGACTCAAGACACAGAGAACAAACTTATGGTTATCAAGGCGGGGGTGGGGGAGTGAGTGGAAAGGAATGGACTGGGAGCTTGGGGTTAGTAGATATAAACCATCACATACACAATGGGTGGATAACAGGGTCCTGTTGTGAAGCACAGGGAACTATTCACCATCCCATTATGGTGATGGGGAAATAATGGGGAAACCGTAATGGACTTAAAGTTTATTATTACAGACTCAAAAAAAAAAAAAGTATCTGGGCTTCAGCTTACTTCAGGAGATACTTCCAGATCTCAAGTGACTGCAGGCACACCAACTCTTAGAAACAGGAGGAAAAAGTGCTTTCTACTTAGAAAGTGCTGTTTTTAAAGAATTTTATACACATTACTTCATTACCTCATTGTTAACACATCCAAGGTGGACACAATTAGAATCAGATGAGCTCTCATAGTCAGCAGTGAGAGATGCTATACAACACCCACCAGCAATAGACCAAAAATGATCAGAGCAAAAAGAGTTAAGTGTTACAGCATGGGAACTACTACAGTAATAATATAGGACATGGCCGACCTTCTCTTTTAATTCCCCGAGATAAGCAGTGCTTTGTCCAAGGATGGCCTCTGCAGACTCCTGGAAACACGTGACCCACTGATTCTCCTGAAAATCTGCAATATTGACCTAAAAAACACAACTTCACATCATTACACCAAAGAAATAACAAAAGGAAGACACTAAGGAGACTGAGAGATGGACTTTTTCCCCTCGTTAAGAGTTTCTAGGGAAAAAAGCCGATTCCACTAAATAGCTGTTCTTTCCAAAGAAGGTAAAAAGTTATCCAAGAGAGAAGTTCAAAATGTTAAGTGTGGATCACAGCAGGAACGTGATGTGGTGTGGACGTGTGATTTCAGTGCTCAGGGGAGATACAGCCCAACAAAAATCGCCTTCAGATGCAGGATCCGGGCACACTGGACTCAGTGGCCCTCCAGCTGCAATGGCCTTTGGACTAAAGGTTTTGAATGAGCCTCCAATGGTGTTCTGCATTTTAAATCGTACACCCTTCAGTCACCAGGAGGCGCTCCATACGACAGCTCTTAGTCACTGCTGAGCATCCCAGATAATCTGAAAGCCTGAATTAAGAGACAAGCTAGTCTCCACAGTGCCGGGAGCTTCGCAGGAACTCAAGAAACACCAGAGCGGTCCTTGTTCACCCATTCTACTTACTGCCAGAATCATGCGGTACTTGAAATTGGGGAATTCACTGTCACACTTCTCGCAGCGGTACAATCCGTTCTGCTGGTCAATCACTTTCTTGTTGCAATCCTGAGTTGGGCAGGCCTGGTACATACAGTTTTCTTTGCGAAGATACACCACGGTTGCCACAGAGCTAAAATAGTCAGGCTTCAGGAGAAAAGAGTGACGTGAGGCAAAGAGCACAGACCAAAGTTCAGGACTGGACTTGCTCTGACATATGAGGGGTAAGTGTTTGCGTATTCTCACAATGTGATTACAAGGGATAATTCATTCTATAGTTTCAGAAGTTACTTGTGCTGACTACAAAATCTAGAAGGGTAATAAACCAAGTTCTAAAGCATATTACTCCTTAATAATAAAGAAGTTAATTCTAAACCGTGCTGTGCTTAGTCGCTCCGTCGTGTCTGACTCCTTGTGACCCCATGGACTAGCCCACCAGGCTTTGTCCATAGGGATTCTCCAGGGAAGAATACTGGAGTGGGTTGTCATGCTCTCTTCCAGGAGATCTTCCCAATTCAGGGATGGAACCCAGGCCTCTTGCATTGCAGGTGGATTCTTTACTGTCTGAGCTACCAGGCAAGTCCTTAATTCTAAATTAGACTAAACTAATTAATTAAAACTGAAATAGACTATATGAAAGAAAAAGACTTCAAGAGATCTTGATCTCGTTGCTCCTGTTCCTCTGCCCCTCCGAAGGTCACAGAACCAGGAAATACAGAGCGACACAGTGAACTCAGGCATAGTTATCTTCAACCGCTCCTCCCATGTTAAAAATAGCAGTGATTTCAAGCATCTAGATTCAACTTTGTCTTTGGTCAACAAGCATTTTCTGTAAAAAGCCAGACAGTATCTATTTCAGGCTTTACAAGCCATCGGGTCACACTCACCCTGCTGCTGGGGTGCAAGACCATCCACAGACAGTCTATAGAGGTGAGAGCGGGTGGCTGGTTTCAATGCATTTGTATTTACAATAGGCGGCAGGCTAGATATGGCCCGTGGGACCCCTGGTCTAAGTCATCAGTAAAATGCAAAAAGACTGAACAAGCGCCTTCAAAGTGGAGACATCACTGCTAAGTAAATGTGGCAAGGACCAAGTCACAAGTGTAGGCTTTCTGTTGCTGCTATTTGCTTTGCCTTTTAGCTGTCATGGAAAGGATACAGGATGAATAATTTGGGGGGGGGGGGTGCAGTTCCCTCTGGGTGTACTCTGAACTCAGGGCCAGATGAATTCTCACTCTAAAAGGTTCTAGAGCAGCGGTCCCCAACCTTTTCAGCACCAGGGACCGTTTTGGTGGAAGACTATTTTTTCCACAGACAGGATGATTCAGGCAGCAATGGGAGCAACAGGAAGCAGCCCATTTCCGGCTGTGTGGTCCGGTTCCTAACAAGCTGTGGATCAGTACTGGTCTGTAGCCCAGGAGCTGGGGACTCCTGCTCTACTGAAGGGGAGTCTTCCAGGAGAATGCCTGAAGGGTTTTTCTGTATTTCCAGGTAAGGGCCCAATTCAAAGTGGGACTTGAAAGTTTGGGTGTGAATAGGTACTCTCTAGGCCTGATTCCTTGTTACCTACTGTCTACCTTTAGGTCTAATAAAGAAACTGGTTGACAAGAAAACCCAGAATGACAGAGATCTGTCCAACGTTTAAGTCTCAGGACATTGTGTAACAGCATTATGAGTTGCAGTCATTGACAATGATAGATAAGAAAGTATTGTGGAATGAGACAGTAAGGAATAAAAACCATATTGTACAATATGAAAATAATAAAGCAGGGATTACTGGTTGTGGGAGCATAAAGGAGAAGTAAATGATTTAAATCTTGAACTGCTGACAGAATACAGATGCAGAGTAAAATGGGGGGCGGGGGTCATTAAACACAAACATTGAAAGGGAAGTTGCAACTCCAGTCAAATACCAGTCAACTCTTGTCAGAGAATACCAGGGGTGCTCAGCCCCCAAGAGGTTAATCCTCTATAGCCAGTGAGAGTACACGTGAATCACTCCATGTCTGACGCTGTAACTCACTAATGCTCAGTGTGAGCTGTAATCTCAAAAGCTGCCTTTCTGGTCTGCAGGCATTTCAGTTTGCAGGAACAATCACAGAAAAGGAATATGGACCTGAACGCGGTTCATGTTAATACACAACTTGATTACTACTACTTCGTTAAGATCCCTCCAAGAACTACACAACTCTCTAAGTCAGAGCTCTGAGCATCTTTTTGCCTCAACTGACCTGAGGGATATAACATACTCCTATTAGAAAGCATGGCTCCCTCACTCTGGCTGGCATCCTCAACCATCACCCAGGTAAGAATCATAGCTCTGAATTAAGGTCTAACAGCTGGTTATCAGAAATCGGATCTGAAAACTCATCCTCTTGCACATTCTACATGCTTTTGTGGAGAAAGTTAGGAATGCAGATACCTTGTCGCCTTGGCCCAGGTTCTCCGACTTGACCTCATATAAAGTTTTCCAGTTGGTGTTGCTCCCACCTGCTCCTCCACTCTTTAGATCAGAGATGGAAATGCCATCTAAGGCTTGTCCTTCTGAGTCAAACCTGAAAAACAAATAGCAGGCACTTTATATGCATATTGAATGTGATACTTGTTTCTATATGCCAGGTGCAGGCTATTCGCTCCCCACCCAACTTTTCACAGGTCATGGCCAAGTGGAGCTGAGGGTAGCATCTTCCTCATTGTATCTCAAGTCTACTGAAGAAATGGAGTGACCTCTTTTAAATCTCAATTGCTCTGACGCCTCCCAGTGGTCACGAAAGACAGTGCCAAACTACTACAGAACCTTTTCCTAGATTAGCCTTGCTATCAACACAGGCCAGATGGCCCAAGTGCCTAAAAAAAACAGTAACCTGGAAAGTCAACAACAAAACAACCAACAATGGAGAGCCCTGGTGTAGTTCTTTGGGCTACTGATGCTCATTCTTGCTCAGCAGCTGCATTTTTCTCATCATTGAAATGTACCAGGCTAGAAAGGGACAGTTGACATATTTTAATGGGGTAGCAAAAAATGTTCCCAGATCTTTTAAGACTGGTATAATTTCAAAAGATTATATAATTCAAAGTAATTTATTAGAAGGTATTCACCTGTTTCCTTGTAGACTGACCTTCTTAGTGAGATTTTACTTATGCCAAAATGAAAGTTGAAATTAAATTATGTTAAATTATTATAAGGCTGATCACATTATCAGCTAATATGAAGGAAAGGACATGCAAGAGGAGTGTCAGAAACATACTTGTGTCAGGAAAGAGGCAATCTGAGATTAAACACACCAATGTCACCCAAAAGGAGGATAACTAAAAGTAACCACATACAGAAAAGGCTCCATAAAACGAGAGCATGGGACAGAATGGATGCTGCCCTAAGCTGCAGACAATTGCCTTTTTGTTCCGTCAGGTAAGTGGCTAAATCCGTCACAGAGGCACAGCAAGGCCTGTAAATCTGTTTCACCTCGACTAGCAACACAAGTTTACAGTTTCAAAAACTCTGAGGAGACATCTGCCACCAAAGACAGCTCATCAGGAGTCAACAGAGCAGGGACAGAGGCAGTCCTTCTTAGAGCAGAAACTCCACACTGCTGCAGCCGAGGTCCAGACACCTCCAGACCTTGCCGGGGGACGGGGCGGGGGGGGGGGGGGGTGCGCCGGACACACGGGGCTCCTTTCTGACCAACGCCAAGCTGCCTTACTCAATGGACAGACATGTCTTTTTATGTTGACTGGGATCACAGTGATCAACAAAAACTATGAAGACCTTAATGTGGGCAATTAACCTGCAGTCGTTTGCCAGAGCCTGATGGGAAATCAAGCAATAAGGACAAACCAAAGCCATGGTTCCTTCCAGTCAGCTTGTTAATGAATGGGCCCTGCGCTATAATGCAAAGCCAGCTACCAGAAAAGCTAAACATGGATCCACATGGATCACATGCACAAGGCTGGCTTAAGTGACATGGTAATGCCAGTAGATGTGTCACATGTGTCAGTCACTCAGTCATGTCCAACTCTTTGCGACCCCATGGACTGCAGCCCACCAGGCTCCTCTGCCCATGGGATTCTCCAGGCAAGAATACTGGAGTGGGTAGCCATTTCTTTCTCCAGGGGATCTTCCCGACCCAGGGATCAAACCCAGGTCTCCTGCATTGCAGGCAGATTCTTTACCGACTAAGCCACCAGGGAAGCCTTAGATATGTCATGAGACTATTCAAATAGTAGTGCTACTGGTTCACATTAAGCTCAAACAAAAGTGGGGAGTATGTAATACGAGCCAATTCTCTAGTCACTCAAACCCTAAGACATGGTTGGAAATCAACACCCACCTACCCCCACCCTGTGACCTCCAGCTACACAAATTATAAGCTTAAGCGAGTTCCAGAGCTTTTTTTCCCTGACCACATCAATGCTTGCATACCAGGTTTCAGTTTGAAGTGCTCTACTGAGGCAGAGTTTTAACACCCTAAATAGCTAGACACAGCGAGGAGATTTTAGTAGGTTCTCCTCATTCCCTGAGTGCTTTGTGAATAGCAACATACTGCCCACAAAAGCCCATTGTGCCCACTGCACTCGATCAGAGTGTGAATACACATTAGAAGATGCGATCGGCACTGGCGTCTAGACAGAACAAGAACACCTACCCCCCCCACCCCGCCGAGACCCACAGCTTTGAGCCGTGAAATGAAAGACACCTCCACTCACGGAGCTCCAGCACAAAGCTGCTACAGCCCGTCTTTACCTGCTTCGCAGGATCAAGGTCGGCGGGCAGCGTTCCTGTCCTAATTGCTCCCTGTGACTCTCCAGGTTTGTCACGAGATTACAGGTTTGTCAGTTTAAGGGCTTTAGAGCCATCCTCTCAGAAGACATAATGCCTCCAAGAAATATAGGAACAGCTCCACTTAGTAACAGAGCCCTCTGCTTGGCAGACAGATCACATGCTGATTGTAGGAACCAAAAGAACCAGTTCTTCTCCAAGCCCAGGTTCAAACAGCCCCTGTGTTGAGCCCCATAAAAACCTACCATCCACGAAGCTTATAGGCCTCTGGGATGTCAGGGTTCACAATGATGGTGCTTGAAGACAGTACAGAGAGGCTCCGTCCACCAAAATCAGAAACTCTGGCTCCTTTGATGGCCATCACGGGTTGTCTAGAACCATCAAATTTATCAGCCTGCATAACAACACAAACAACAAACAAACAAGTGTCAATAGCAGGAAGAACACAAAGTTTTTTTTATAAAAAACAAAGAAAACAGCCAATGGTAGAGTGAATGCAATAAATGCTACATGGGCTCAATACAAGATAACCTCACACACAAGAATCTGCTCAGAGATGCATCAAAACTAACCAAGAGTTAGAGGAAAGAGCAAATTTCACTATGCAAAACCTAAACCAGAGCAAATCTCACAGAAGTAAATCATAAAAGCTTTCAAATATTCCCCAGAGAGCCCAAACCTTCATGAGGAAGGGTCTACCCAGCCAACATGGCCAACGCCCCACAGCTCCCGAGGCAAGACCACCACCCAGGAAGCTCTTTGTGTCCCCCACACACTCCTGCCACTCAACGCAAGCACTTACATCATCTCCCCATAGGGTAGCGTTCACCACTTTCCCTGACATATCCATCAGATAGATATTTCTCTTCGAGACTTCTCTGTTGTTAGACTTCACTATGATTTTTGTGACATCTTCGTAGTTCTTGCAGATCCCGATTATGTCTAAGACACAAACACGGTGCTTTAGTACGAAATGGTCAAGGGTTTCCCTGGTGGCTCAGGGGTAAAGAATTCGCCTGCCAATGCAGGAGACATGGGTTTGATCCCTGGTCTGGGAAGATCCTACATGCTGCAGAGCAACTGAGCCCATGCGCCACAACTACAGAGTCTGTGCTCCAGAGCCCCGTGAGCCACCGACTACTGAAGCCCGCGTGCCCTAGAGCCCGCGCTCTGCAGCAAGAGAAGCCACTGCCATGCAACGAGAAGCCCACACATGGCAACTGGAGAGTAGTCCTCATGCTCTGCAACGAGAGAAGAGCCTGCGCAGCAATTAAGATCCAGCACAGCCAAAAATAAACAAAAGTAAAAAGATGGTCGAGGCTCTCGTGACAGCACAACCAAAAGTGAAGCAGCAAGCACTCGTCTCATGCCTCCCCCACGTGTGGTGCAAACGAGATTAGTGATGGCCACTCTTGGTTCTCACGCACAGACTTACCTACAAGCGAGTCTTTAGATTTGCTCTCCAGGTCGCCAATCCCCGTGAAATCAAACTGAACTGTCGGTAAGTGATGACCGTCTTCACAGGGCATGACAGAAGTTTCATTGTTGAAGGTCATCTCGTAGTCGTTTTTGACGGCTGTGAATTGTTTGTTGGCGATCTTCAGGGTGCCTTTAGAGAAGTAATAGACCTGCAAAAGAAGCCAAGCCATGGAACATGGGATGTGCCATCAAATCAGGTATAAAAAGCCTTCACCATCACACTGCTTTCCAAAGGACAGCAGTCCCCACGTCCCCACCCCATCACTTGGCCGTTTCTGGTCTAGACTCCACGCTGCCATACCTTGTTCACGTCAATAAGGGGGAAAAACTTGTCCGCTTGCTCATTGAAAGCAGTTGCTCTGATTTCACCCTGCAGAAGCGTGTGAGAGAGGGCAGCTTAGAACTATGGAGCTCCAGTTTTGCCAGTGAAAAATGGGACACTTTGGTGTCAAGATGACATCTTTGAAACAGTAGCACAGTCAACATAGAAGACACATAGTTCACAGTCACACATTCAAGTTATTAACTCCAGCAAAACATCCCAGGTTTAACTAGCTGATCCCCATTCCTGGGCTTCATTAAGCCTCAAGTTAGAAACCTCAAAAAAGTGTATTTTGAACATGAGTGACATTACTAGAGCCCCCAGGGAAGTGTGCTGGGCCACCGTGATTCACCAGCTTCCCTCGCATTTGCACCGATCAAGGAATTACTTCATACTTGAGAGTCACTGCCAAAAATGTTAAAATAAATCATACTTTCAGGTTGCTCGTGATTGGATTTTCACTTGTATTTTCCTGTCAGTCAAAATGCTACAGATGGAGAAGAAACTTAAATTAACAGCTGAATTTTTAGCCAACTGACAGATGAGACCAATAACTTGGTTTAAAAAAGTTGGATTCTGACACAGTCAATACATTGGTGGTGTTATCCCATCTTCAAAAAAAACAGAAATAAGAAAACAAACGAACTATTTTTTTCTGCCCTCTTAGAGGTCTGAACAAATAGGAAATATACAGCCGTTTGAAAAGAATGCCTGAAATATACACTAGGGATTATAAGTAAAATGAATGGACAGAGATATAGCATGACAAGATGCTTGCCGAGATGCCACTATATGGATTTTTCACCTCTCCATCATGGTTTGGTTTCGTTTACATGAAGCACAGGAAGTCTGCGCTGCCAGAATGCTCTCGCAAAACCAACTGCTTATCACTTGTCAAGGCCGCCACGTGCCTTCTGTTGTGGCCCAGGGCTCCGTGAGGCTCCCAAGGAGACCTCACCTCTTGGGGCTTTGACTAAGCCTCCTGGCAAGTCAGACGTCTCTGATTTCTCCTGCCAGTGAGGCTACTCACATTTAGAAAACCAATGTCAACTGCTATAAATGCTTCCGTCTGAGACCAAGGATTTTACTTATGACTTAACCCTTTGCCCCCAGACGGCATCAGAAGATTACGAGAGAGGAAAAACAGCAACAAGAAGCATGTTTCTTCTTGGCCTACTGTTACCCTTTACCTCATGGGCCTGCACAGAGGTGAGCCCTGTTTCCCAGAGCTGAGGACTCCTCTTTCCCCACCGACAGATACTCACACTCTCATCAACCAGTTCTATGGAGAAAAGCTTCCCTTCCCCTCGGGAGTTGCTCCAGGTACGGATCTGACTTTTGTTGGTGACACGAGCACAAATAGTCCACCTAAAAACCAAAAATGGATAATCTTAGTGTTGGGAGTCTTACTTGGGAAAGATCTGAAATGTTCCCTCCCTATTATCTTCTTAAGAGTCTTTCTTACCTTATGCATATTCTATTTTCCAGGGGAAGCTGTATTTTAATCCAGCTAATTAAAACCCCAGGATGACATCCAGGTTTGACAGTTTATAGAATAAGCAAATAGTAAAACACACAAGGTTATTTAACACTGACTCATTCTCCTGTCAAATAAGTAAATTTATAAACGCTTTCTCTTCTCCAAAAGGCATCACCAAGGCAACACTATCCCCTTAATGAAAGGTTCTAAGCTAGAAAATGCAGTAATACCAGCAATTATATTTTGCCGCTATTTTCAATTATAGGAACTGATATAACTGATGTCAAACTTCTATCTCACTTCCAGCGCACATGGAATGTAAACACAAGGGTATGGAACATGGTGTTGGTTAAGCCACCATAAGAAAACACTCTCAAAGCACTATGATTCTAGACAGAAGCCATTAGAAAGGTGGGGGAGGCGCAAGGCCTGACATCCAGTCCTGGAGCCCACCCCGTGTGTAGCTACTGGACACATTAGTTACCCTACTTGTCATTTCACAGGGGAACAGACCTTCTTCACATTGCCAAGAACTGAAGAATAAATAAGTAAATAATATCTGAAAGAATTCTGAAAAGAGCACTCACTAATTTTCAACTGCTAAAATTTTTAATGGAAAGAAATCATATAAAAGAAGTATCTGTTCAGTTTATATGAATACAGTTGACACAAACACACAGATTCTTTTAAGCAAACCAAATTGTAGTAATAATTTTTGGACTGAAAGTCATCTATTTATTTGATGAGAAGATGAAATGCCTTCTGAATTAGAACAAAGATTATTTTTACTCATAAGACTATCAACTAGTTCTTAAAACTCTGTTGTTGCTGTTTAGCCACTAAATCGTATCTGACTCTTTCCAACCCCATGGACTGTAGCCCGCCAGGCTCCTCTGTCCATGAGATTTCCCAGGTAAGAATACTGGAGTGGGTTGCCATTTCCTTCTCCAGGGGATCTTCCCAACCCAGGGACTGAACCCACGTCTGTGTCTCCTGCATTGGCAGTCAGATGCTTCACAGCTGAGCCACCTGGGAAGCCCCTCTTAAAACATTAAATCTTTTAATTTCAAATTCTTTTAAAATGAATGAAATTCCATAGGCTATGGCTGATTGCTCTTTCTGCCATTATTTTATTATGAAATAGTTAAAGGTTGCCACAATTTGTAATTTCCTCCCCTTCTGGAAAAAAAAAAAGAGAGGAAACCTATTTTATGTGTGGTAACCCTGAGGTTCACATATGAGTAACTCAAGAGCCCATAATATGTGTGGTAACCTGAAGTTCACATATGAGTAACTCAAGAGCCCATAATAACCTCTTATACTCTTTTCTAAGTCCCTTCTAAATTTACTCTATGAAATAACTCACTTGGACTGGTACGGGGTGAGGCTGGCGATGGGTACCACTTTGGCCTGTGTTCCCCCAGAGCTGTTCATTTGGCTGGTACTGCCAACTTTTCCAAATGTCTTTGAGGCACCAAAAGCCTTAGATACAGTGGAAGCTTTAAAATCAAATACAAAGAAGGACAATCATTATTTTATTTAAATTTTATGGTAAGTTTTGTAAGTTCTTAATTTACAAGTGACATCATACAAAATGAGAAGCCAAGTTTTTCCTCTTAAATAATCAAGAGATCTGGAAATCAAACAGAGACTGAAAGAGGAGATTACAGTGAGGTCTAAAATGAAGGCTGGGCGTACAGATGTTCAGGACTGTATCTGCTGACTTACATCCTGAGGTTGAGATACTTAGGGTAATGAATCCAGACTCTGCTATTTCAGAGATGAATCTTTAGACTTTTCCCTTGTATCAGTAGGCAAGATAATGGGCTGGAGAAAGAAAATAGCCTTGGCTGAGCTGAAGACAAGCCACTGGTCGCACAAGAGAAAGAGCAAGAAGGAAAGGCTGTGAACTAAGGGGCACAGTGGGTAAGCCATCTGAGGCGAAGAGCACCTACTGCAAGCAAACCTCCTCAAGACACCCCCAGGGAACTCCCGGCTCTCAACTGGCCTTGCAGGAACGGATCATCTAGAATGAGGTTTACTGGGTTGGGTGTAATTGGGAGCAAAGGGCAAGGGAGCAGTCTTCCGTTCAAGATGAACAGGGCGGGGGGGACTGGCTGTTGTGGCCCCTTCTTGCCTCCTTTTCATCCAAGCCTATGTATCTGTCTTGTACTTGGGAAGAATATGTCATTATGTAACACCTATAAGCAGACAAATGCCTTTACATGCACGCTGTTTCTATGAAGATTCACCCTCCAAGTTCAGAAACGACAATTTAGTCCAATGATTTCATATCTTCTCTACCAAAATATTTCTTCAACATGGCATCTGGGTAGAAATGTGTATCTTCCATTATTCAGCATTTATTTACTGAGTTTCCACAGGAAGTGCCACACTATTCTGGATATTTGTAGGTAGCACTCGATAAAAAATAGACAAAAACTGTCCCAGATCTTAAAATTTTCTAACTCGGGAGTCAAGAGACGACTTACACACACAGCAGTAACAATTACCTCAAGGTAACTCTAGGAAGCACACACTCTCTGTAGGCTATCTTACGTGTATGTGTAGAATATCGCTTTAGTATACATTATACAATCGTAAAAACACATACACATCCAGTTTGCATGCTGGCCATTCCCCCTCAATACACTTCCAGTCCTTTCCTTTCAGCATCCAGTTATGTGTTTAGGGAATGTTAACTGATTTTTTTTTTTTTAATGGATCTCAATATAAGCCAAAGATAGACACAAAGATAAATCTCTCAGGGGTCAGACAGTGGGGAGAAGTATAACATACTATTTGTATTTCAGCCTAAGAAAGTGAATCCTTTTGGGTTACTTACTATTTTAGAGAATCTATTTCCTCATCTCCCTCCAACACTACATAATTTGAGAGCTATATATAAATAGCTCCACTTGTAAAGGGAGATGGCTAGAAGATAGCTATTACAAGGCAGATAAAAACATCAAAGACTAGTGGGGAAAAAGACATGCCTCCTGAAAGTTTCACAGAAATGTTAGTGACGTTTTAACCCTGCTTTTTTTTTTAGAACCTTAGCACTGAGGAATAGAAACTAATCGTTGAGGGGAGGGGAGGAAGTGTGTATGAAGCTGTGACAGAAAAAAGAAACTCTAAAAATAAATTCCAACCAAATTCTACAAATCATAATTTTCACTGGTGACATCCCACACGAAGAGGTTCCTAAGGGAGAGGCCAGAGAGTAAATAAAGTGATTCCATTACAGTCTCACAGGACCCGCCAAAGAGAAAGTCAGAAAGAAGAAACTATTTCTCATCCATGAGACAGAAGCAAGACCTATGACCAACATAAATGATACTGTCTTCAAGCTAAGATAAATACTCCCAAGAGCGCCAAACGGGAAACCTGGAGAGAGACAAACCAAATGAATAAGTGGCTCCTAGAGAGTTAAAAGGCGAGAATTTAAAAGTTATGTAATTCACATAGTCAAGAGGATGTTAAGTGAGAAACTACCAGATAAATTATTAACAGAGAATAGTGTATCATTCTGATTTTTTTTAAAAAGCCTATTAAGTATCTTTAAAAGACTGTCTTTAATCATTTTTTTCAATCACACACTTTACAATGAAAATTGGAATTATTCTTTGCAAGAAGCAACTGTCATGTGCAGCATTTTGGAAACTCCCTGTAGTCCCAGATTAAATTGCAAACCATCACTCAAAACCCTGCCGCACACAATCAGCACGCGTCCTCGGGTGGCAGCCTTACCCACTCCTGGGCTCCCATTCTGTTGCTGGGGCCTGCTGGTTGGTGGACTGGCTGCTGAGACAGGAGGAGGAACTGCTGGCTGCTGTCCGTGTCCTGATGATCAAAAGGGAAAGACCATTTTAGTGCCAATAATTTGGGTTAAGAGATTTAAACTTAAGCAGAAGAAATATTCTGAGAAAGTGTAAATTTGTGATTTTTGTCAAAGACTCTCCTGGGTCAGAATTCATGCTGGGGCACTTGATTGCATGCAGCGAAAGTGCTAGGGGTTCACTTTTGTTTTCATTACCTAAAAGGTTGGCTCCATTTACCTTTCACCTGCTTATAATTGATGGCTTTTGGTTTTAATGAGGTTCTCCCCTAAAGCTTTGCCCATTTCTCCTGCGTGAACCTGAAGTAAAGTCACTGGGCTGAATCTGTGACATTACCACTATTTCCATAGCAACAAATCGATGTTATCAACAGAACTGTGTTCGCGGCAGGATCTATCAGAAGAAAAAGCTGGGTGGTAACAAAAACCTAAAAGCAGTTCAATTGTCTCTGAAGTGCTCCTGCTTCAAAGGGAAAGAAGACATTCAGAAAGGATTCTACCCTTTCCCTCCCAAACAAAGCAACCTTATTCTGCAACTGACAGTTGGTGGAAAATAAGAGTTGAAAGCGCCTTAGGTACCGTGAAGCGAGTGAACTGTCACAGCAGGAGAGATGAGGATGGAGTTCAGAAGCAGGTGTGTCGGGGAGACAGGGAGATTAAAAGGAAAAAGGAGGGGAGACAAACATGTCTGTCAAGCAGAAAATAAGAAAGGCCACACCATCAGAGTATTTATTTGGTCCTCACCCTTTCTACAAATGTTGATGAAACTGAAGAATGTTAAAATACGCTAATTAAAAAAAAAAAAAGGATTTATGGAATTTGATGTGGGCTTTGTGAGTGGCACTTAAAGTAGCAGTCAAACCTCATCTGGGCTGATCACCAAGAGGGCTTGCGGCACACAAGTGCAGCTCACAACATTTCCTAGACAGCCCTCAGAACAGACACACAGTGAGCACCCCTAGAATAGCTCCCTGCCTGCCACCTTGCCTCTGCTTCTTCCATCCCTGGGTTTGTTCCCTACCGGGTTTTCCAAGGTCTTAATGCAAACAGGCACAAAGTGCACTGATTTTATTTCCTTCTGTGAATGTTCCTCCTAACTGGTACCACTAAAGGAGAGTCAACTGTGCCATCAGAGTGAAACAAACTTAGCATCAAACTAAAAGGGTTAAACAGAACTCCAGCTCTTCCTATGGAGAGAACTGAGAGGCCTTATTTACACAGAAAAAAGAGCCAAGATTACTGACAATGAATTTTTGTGCCTGCTTTTCAGCTTTTCCACTACCTCTTAACTTCCAGTGTCACAGAGATTGCATGGGAGAACTGTTCTCCTCTGACAGTGTGTCTTATGAAGGAACAGTCTGAAATTCTACAGTGGACCTTCCTTTGAACTCGTAGGGAAAAGATGAATTGCTCCACAAACAATACTGAGTCCAAATAATTGGGAAAAAAATTTAATCTGTACTCCTACCTGCTTCGGGAAATTTTATTCAAATGAACCAAATAATTTAAACAGTCAAACATGGAGCCATGAAGATACACCAACCCCTTCTGCAGCCCACCCTAGTTCCTCCCATGCTCCCACAGTCTCAAATACATCAGCACTCTCAAGTCCCTTCCTCCCCACCCACCATGCCTGCTTCTCCAAGCATCTCGTTAATAAATAGGACGTGGTCACAGGATCTCGCCAATCTCTTATGTTAATTTCTATCAAAATGTAACTAACCTTTATGCCGTATCTGTAGTAAAAGGGTGGTTACCAGGGACTGGTGGGAGTGGGGAGAGATGTTTTAATGGGTACAGGGTTTCCCTTTGGGATGATGGAAGAGTTCTGGAGGTGGACAGAAGTGGCTGCACAAGGGTGACTGGACTGAATGTCATTAATGATACACTTAAAAATGGCTAAGATGTAGACTTTATGTTATGTGTATTTTACTACAATTTTTAAAAAATGTAACTTATCTATTTACTCATTGTGAGATCAATATTTTAAAACATTTTAACATATGGGTTAAAATTAATGTTAAAATTTCTTTTTAGTAGTACATAATAGCATAGTTTTATAACCATTGGATTCTTAAGAGTCAATGAAATTTAGTATATTTTAACAAGACTCCAATTAGGCCCTGTAATAGACATGTTCGTAATAGCTACAATTTTTTGAATGCTTACTTAATGCACCAGGTATAAGGTTAAGTGCACTATCCCACTTACTCTTAAGCCCTCTATGTAAACAGTATTATTGTACCCAATTAACAGATGAGAAAAGTGGGTTTAAGTGGTCAAGTAACTTACCCAGTCACACAGCTAGGAAGAGGCAGAACCTTGTCTTGAACCCAGGTCTGTATGACTAGGTCCAATCAACTTCTCTATCATCTAGTTAATTTTTAATCCTAAACAACCAATTCTGGCAGGCAGAAATATAATTATATAGAACATAACTAATAACTACAATATCCAGCAGTTACAAAAAGCCACTAATAGTAAAACAACAGCTGAGAAAAATTAGACAACAGACAATAGAGTATACAGATTAACAAAAACCTCAGTTTCTACCAGTAATTACTTTCTTAACAATAACCACAAAGAATATAAGGAAGAGTCAATCCAATGAATACAATTTCTCATTGGTAGATAATAGAGTCAGGCTGGAAAAAAATCCCAACTAGTATCTTTCAGTAATGAGTGACACTAATAACTAAGCAACATATTAAGAAATTTAAGTCTTAAGTAAGATATTATGGTTAGAAATAGTGCAGGTACATAAGACTAATATACATACGGATTTAAAAAAATACATAATGGTAAAGACAGGATATTTAAAACCATCCAACCCAATATTAAAGGAAACATGAGCTGTGTTTGAATTTTACTTCTCATGCTTAAAAAATTCTCTAAGTATCTTCACTCTTTACTTAATGTGGTACTAGTACCATGAGACAATTTCAGTGCACCTTTTGGAATTTCTCTGCCTGATTCTGGACTGGGTCTCAGGAGTTTTACTGGTCACCTGACATGTTACATGTCTGGGTTAGGTGCTGGGAGGATACAAATCTAACTTGAGTTCTCTTCTCACTAATAACAGTCTCTTTGCTTTCCAATAAACAATTAGAAACCATTTCTGTGAAATACACCCATAAGGTAGTAGTCACTGTAACAAAGCTATTTCATGATGGCCCAAGTAACAATGTGTTATTGATCCAGTTACAACGAAATTCAATAGCAAATACTCTTGAACAGCAAAATCTCTGCCTCATTCCTCTGCACTTTAACAGACCCTAAAGAAAGGAAGAGCCAGTGGAACTGAGCACTGAGACAAAAGGAGTGCTTCTTATAGTTCTATGGTCCTCACCCCAAGTGGTAATTATCCTTGACCCCTTCCAACTCCATCTTTACCTCAAATACTCTGTTCCTGAAAGACAACATGTTCAAAGCAGCCAGTCAATTAAACACAACATAAAAAACATAAGAAATTCAGTCAAAGGTAGTAAGCTGGGCAAATCACCTCTCCCTCAAGCCTCTAGCATCCAGAGATTTCATAGAGATGCTAAGTATTGCTTTGTCTTGGCTTGCCTTCCTAAAAGCTGGGAATAAGACAACCTACATGCTCATTTTAACAACACTTTACCATTGCAAAACAACTGTGATGTTCCTATTTAATACCTTAAAACTTTACCTGAATAGGCTGCAGCTTCCCTTTTCCTATGTAAAACACCAAATTAATACGTTTGGTATAGGTGAAAATTAAAATCTAGAAGGCTCTACCTCTGAAAGAAGCATGGTGACGATCAAGTCCCAAACCTTCCCTTCTCCTAAAAATCATACAGAGTGACAAGAGGAATGAATGTTCATACCATAAATGAACATCCCATATACAGACTGCATCTTTAGTGAAGCTAGGGGAAAGAGACAAATGGCAGATTATGAGAAAGTGAAGCCCAAAACCTCACAAATCAAGACATCACAGCCGTAAGAGAGAAGCAGCATGGATGATTCAGACACAAACAATAAAGTCTTGCCAGTACTGGAATAAAACATGGGTGACTGCCTTTGTAACTCTGGCGTGAGGAAGATCTTCCCAACCACCACCCGAAAATCCAAAGTCTTAAAAAACTGGGAAATACAACTTCATAAAAACAAAAGAAAACTGCTGCATAGCAAAAAAAACACCATAAGCAAAGTCTGAAAGACACTGTAACTTGTATCAGAGATGAAGGACTAATTCTATTTTTTTTTAAGATCTCTTAAAAATTGAGAAGAAAAAGATAAACAACTCAAAAGAAAAATGGACAACACAACAGTTCACAGAGAATAAAAAGCCCTTAAACATTTAAAAGGATGTTCATATTGCTCACAATACAAACTAAACACTACACTGAGATCTGACTTTTCATCTATCAGATTGGTCAAAAAAAGAAATCAAAAGATTAATAACATACTCTGTTAGCATAGCTGTGAAGAAACAAGTATTTTCACATATTGTTGGTGGGAATGCAAAATGATACTATCCTGTGAAGGGAACGCAAGCATATCTACCTATCACAAAAGCATTTATCCACGGATCCAACAATTTCACCTTTAGCGATCAAAGCCCCTCTGCCCATATACCGCATATGTATAAAGTTATCTGTTGCAGCACTGTCTTAATAGCCAGAGTACAGAAACACCCAACTGCCCATCAATAAAAGGCTGGTTAAACTATGGAATTGTCACACAACACAATATGCTATACTGTTAATAAATAAATAAGTAAAAATGAGGAAGATCTTTAAGTATATATATGAAAATATCTCTAAGCTGAAATTAAAAAACAAAAACAGAACTGAGAAAAGAGAGGCAACATAGTGTACATACTTGTCTAGCTGTTCAGAGTTGTTTTTTTTAATCCTACCTTTGGTGTAAGCAAAGTGGATTATGAGTGAAAATACATAATTTATGTACTTGGTTATATTTTCATTAAGAAAACCCTTGAAGGACAAAAAGAAACCACTGAAATTGGTTACCTACAGAGGGCAGCAGTGAGTACGAACAAGACAGGAGGAGGCAGGGGCAGGAGTAAGATTTCTCTAAATAATTTTAGAGTTTTGACTGCTGAAAGACATAACTATATTATCTACTCAAAATTTAAAACAAAAATTAATGTTTATTTAAAACAAATATGTATATATTAACATTTCAACTTTGAAAAGTATACAAGTTTTAATGGACAAATATGTGAACACAAAGCAGAGAAACAGCTCTAAGATTTGAAATAAACTGCCCCCGGATAGGAGCCAGAGGACAAAGAAGAGCTGGGAAGGGAAATGCTTTCTTGGTGGTGCTTCAAAGAACACACTTGCAAAACTATTTGACTTGTAAAACCATGTACAGAACATGACAGAATAACAGAGGCCAAGATGACCCTCCCACTAAAAATAACAAAAAAGAAGGCAAAATATTTATGAGACAAATGATTCTCAGGATACTGGACATCAAGCAACAAAGGACAGTAATTCTGAGACAGAGGAAATAAACAAGGTGAGTGTGACTGTACCAGATTACTGGAAGCCCTGAGGGTTTCCAGGCTGTGACATAGGAAGTGAGCATGGAGGAAGCCCTGAGTTAAGGAGATGGAATCGAGCATGTAGGGAATCAAGACATGGAGGGTTCTCAGGACAGAGTACCAGAGAAGAGAGCTGCACGAAGAAAGACCTCCAGAGATGATGGAAGGTTCCCCTCAAGGAGTCGGCAGAGTACTGGCTGGCTGATCTCTGTGTGGAAACTATCAGAAGCCAGGGAAAGAAAGAACCATCTGAGAAGACCTTGGGGATCAGTATCCGGTGCTCACAACAAGCTAGAAATAGCACCTGTACCTAACAGCCAGAATGGAAAACTTCATATTCACGAGGCATCGAGTAGGATCCTCTGACAGGTCTTGTCTCTGTACTATGAATAACCAGAGCCAGAATAAATGCCACTCTCTGATCCCATCTAACAAATTTTAAAAGCAACATCCCAAAAGATAAAACTGTTTCCAAATAATTTAACTGTATCCCTGAAAAAAAATTCAAGAATACAAGTTTCCAGCACTCAACAGGGTATGAATCACAATGCCTGAATTCATTCCAAGATTACCAGGCACACAAAGCAGAAAAATATTCTTGATAATAAGGAAAAAAAATTAACTGATTAAAATAGACCAAGAACTGATACTGATGCTATTAAAAAGCAGAGATCATTTTGCCAACAAAGGTCTGTATAGTCAAAGCTATGGTTTTTCCAGGAGTCATGTACAGATGTGAGTTGGACCATAAAGGCTGAGAGTCAAAGAACTGATGCTTTCAAACTGGTGCTAGAGAGGATTCTTGAGAGTCCCTTGGACAGCAAGGAGATTAAACCAGTCGATCCTAAAGGCAATCAACCCTGAATATTCATTGGAAGGACTGATGCTGACGCTCCAAAACTTTGGCTACCTGATGCAAAGAGCCAACTCACTGGGAAAGACCCTGAAGCTGGGAAAGATTGAAGGCAGGAGGAGAAGGGGATGACCAAGGATGAGATGGTCGGATGGCATCACCAATTTAATGGACATGAGTTTGAGCAAATTCCCGGAGATAGTGAAGGACAGGGAAGCCTGTCACGGGGTCATAGAGTCAGATACAACTGAGCGACTGAACAACAAAGTTAAGTAAACTGTTTCTCTGAGTTATGGAAGCCACAGTAGCAAATTAACATAACTGAGGGCTTCCCTGGTGACTCAGTGGTAAAGAATCCACCTGCCAATGCAGGAGACATGGGTTCAATCCCTGGTCAGGGAAGAACCCACATGCTGCGGAGCAATCAAGCCCGTGTGCTGCAGCTACTGAGCTGATGCCCCACAACTACAGAAGCCCACAAGCCCCCTGCTGTGCTCCACAACAAGAGAAGCCCCCACAAAGAGAAGCCCCAGCACCACAACTAGAGTGTAGCCTCCGCTCGCTGCAGTCAGAGAAAGCCCATGCACAGCAATGGAGACCCAGCAGAGCCAAAAACAAACTAATTAATTAAAAAAAAATTAACCTAACTGAATCAGAAGAGGGAATTGGCGGAATCGACAATTTACAGCCAGCTGGTCAGAAGCACAGATAACAGGCAGGACTTTTGACTGAAGGGAGCAGCGGTGGGTGGTGGGGTCAGGGGCGGGGATAAGGCAGTCTTGTGGGCCTGAGCCCTTACCCTGGGAGATCTGATGCTAACTCCAGATACCCAGTGACAGAACCAAACTGAATTGTAGGAGACCCAGCTGGTGTCCATAGAGAACTGGAGAATAGCTTATTAGGGAGGAAAAAACCCACACATCTGGTCACAGCCAGAAATATGTATGATTGTTGCATGCAGAGAAAAACAGAAGAGAGGTTTTTCCTTTACAGAGTCCTACCATCATTTTTTTCAGTATTAAAAAAAAAAATCTGAAAGAGTAACCTGTTACTTTTTCCTAGAGTAAGGCCCCCCATAGATGAACAAATGAAACTATAGCAAAAGGAAGCATTCCAGATCTATTAAGAGGTATTCAGCTGAGTGTTACAACCTATAAAAAACATTTTACCTTCATTATAAGGCATTGGATTGCCAATCTTTGATCCAACTGCTTCAGCTGATTTCAAAACTTCTAACTCCATCAAAATAACCACTCTCCTACAAAGGCAAAGGCAAAGAAACATGTTAGAAAAAATAAATTCAGAAGCCCTTAAAATGATAAGCTACTTTAAAAGCTTTCCCCCAATAATCACTGTGATAAAAACTATTTCCCTTTGTCAACTGTTTTTCATTACTGAATAACTTGAGAACTATATGATATCAATTCTTACATAAATATTCCCCTTAATCTTTCACTGCATCATTATCAAGGCCTTTTATGATTGCAGGGTTCTCGTTTCCCATCTAGTTCCTTAATTAAAATGCAGTGTCCTTATTACATACCGTATCTTCAAGGAGCAAATGACATGATAAGAATTTAGATTACTAAACCCAACAATATGTGGCACAACAAGAGATAATCTGTTTTTAGAAACATATACTTATCTGAACAATTACCCTTTCCCTGTGAAAACCAACATGATTATAGATTTTTTTTTAAACGGGTTTTTTTTTTTTTTTACTACTTTAAAGTCTTTACTGAATTTATTACAATGTCACATCTGTTTTTTGTTTTGATTCTTTGGCCACAAGCCATGTGGGATCTTGGTTCCCCAAACAGGGATTGAACCTGTACCCCCTGCACTGGAAGGTGAAGTCTTAACCACTGAACCACCAAGAAGTCCCCAGAGATATTTTTCATGTGATTACAATTAATTAAAATCTTACAGGTCTCTGTCCATCTTTCATTCTGATTAAAACCTTTCGGTAACTTCTCAAGGACCTATGACCACGAGTTAGAACCCTTTTCACATGGCCGATGTGCTCAGTAAGCTCTGGCTTCGCGCTCATCTCTCCAGTTGATCTTGCCTTCTTGTGGCACCCTGCCCTCCACCATCTGTTTCCTCCCAGCTCCTGGTGTATGTCATGCTCTCTCCTGCCACAGGCCTCTGTACGTGCCTCTTTCTGATTATGAGGGTCTCTCATTCTGCTTCATCTAATATTCATTTCAAACATCAGGTCTTTAAGAGACACCTCTTTAATCTCTGCTTTAGATCAGTCTTCGGCTATACTCTTTTCTACAGCCATCATTTCCTTCCTTCAGGTCACATCTCTCAGGTTTAATCAACACAGGTAGACATACAATGATTAATATCTCGGTTAACTGCATGTTCCTCATTTGATTATTTACTCACATGTATGATATAATTTAGTTGTATATTCATTATTGATTATCTACTCCTCCTCCTAAGCTGCCTGTTCAGTCATGGCAGGTATCCTCCAGGGTACACCTCAGCAACTGGTCCACAGTGGTTCTCAATACATGCTTGAACAGGAATGCCATGATCATGTTTGTATTTTTTTATTTTTTTTTATTTAATTTTATTTATTTATTTATTGGCTGTGCTGAGTTTTGATTGCTGCTCGGGCTTTACTCTAGTTGTGGTAATGGTGGTGGTTGGTTTAGTTGCTAAGTTGTGTCCAACTCTTGCAACCCTATGGACTGTAGCCTGCCAGGCTCCTCTCTCCGTGAGATTCTCCAGGCAAGAATACTGCAGTGGGTAGCCACTGCCTTCTCCTATGTTCATATTTTAAAAAGAACTGCAGTGTGAAAGACTCTGAGGGGAACACAACTGGAGGCAGGGAGAAAAACAGAAGAAATGATGGGGGCCTGAATTAGCACAGTCTCGATGGACATTAAAAAGAATAGACAAGGAATGTCTCTGACAGGCTAGTGGTTAGGACTCAATGCTTCCACTGCAGGGAGCACAGGTTCAATTCCTGGTCATAGAACTAAGATCTTACGTGCTGTATAGCACAGCAAAAAAAAAAAAAAAAGGGTAGCTAGTCTGGAGCAGTAGTTAAACAACAGTAAGCCCAACCTCATTGTGATGTATTCTTTAAATGGCCTGACTGCTGTAATTTGGATTTTCACATATAACTCATCAGTTTGTGCAACCTTTAGCAGGTTTTCATATCAAGGATATATTACTTCAATAAAATAAGCTTGAAACTATCTGTTCCTGAATATTACATACAGATTCACTATTTTAAAACTCTGATAGGTATTTAGCAGTGGATATCTAACTACCTTCCAAAATTATCCAAATTACTCCAGAACACAGAAAAAAACAGAAGGCTTGTTAATCATTTAGCATTATCCCAATACCAAAACCTAAAAAAAAAAACTAAAAAAACCACTAACTTTATTCTGTAATATACATACATCCTAAATAAAATATTAGTAAGATAAATCCAGCTGCATATGAAAAGAATACACACAATACCAACTTAAGAGAAAACATAGATGACAAGGACACATTACGACTTTATAAACATATAATCAGCAGAACTGAGACTGTGGGAAACAGTGAATGAGGATAAAGGACAAATGACCTGGTTTCTTCAACAAATAAACACTCAGGGAAGAAAAAAGAGATGGAGGAGGAACCTATATTCACAGAGACTTAAAAGAACTATCAACCTACTGCAGTGTGAGCTTCCCTTTGGATCCCGATACAGATAAATTATCCACACACACACACATGAATACTTGGAAACTGAACAGTGACAAAATATTTGGTATTTTAGGCACTAAAATAAAGAGTTTTTAAAAAAGAACTACTACCTTTTAAAAATATATACTAGGGATTTCCCAGCCACAAGGGACCACATATTACAAGATTTCATTTATGTGAAATGTCCAAAATAAGCAAATCCTATAGACAGAAAGTAGATTCATGGTTGCCTAGGGATGGGGAGGATGGGGTGTTTGGGGGTGATAGCTAAAGGGTGCAGGGTTTATTTGGTGGGTAACAAAATATTCTAAAATTAATTGTGGTAATGGCTGCAAAACTCTGAGTATAATAAAGACTATTTTACACTTTAAATAGATGAATTGTACAGTGTATGAATTATATCTCAAGAAGATGTCACAAAAAAGAAAGGAAGAAAGAAAGAAAAAGACCAACTCTGGCACAGACACAGGACTAGACAAACAGACTGATGGAAAAGATGGTAAACAGAACAGAGCCAGATAAATGGAATACCAGTCTCTATCTACTTTTGTCACCAACCATCAATTCTCCACATAGCTATCAAAATCATCTCTTGGAAAGTTTAAAAAATTTAAATCAGATCATACCAATACTCTGCCACTCAAAAGCCTATAGTTTCCCATCATACTCAGAATAAACTCCTTACCGTAGACCTCCCATGATATAGGACCATCCATTTGGGAAAAACTAAGCTAAATTCTTTGTTTATATCCCATATAAAAGTAAACCTCATATCAAATCACTATGTTGTACACCTAAAAATAATATAAATCAACTATACTTCAATAATAACAAAACCCCAAACCTTAAACAACTTAAAATAATCCAAATGCTTTTAAAACTAAAAAGCAGAAACAAAATAAAATCTCAGATGAACTGAAGTCTACTTAAAAAAATTCACAAGTGTCTGAAGCCAAGAAATGTTTTTATAACCCAGTCAGGAAGTTTCCTAAGCAAAATACAAAATTCAGAAGCCATAAAGAAAAAATGCACAAAACTAAATTTTAAAAAAGTTATTAGCTCCTTATTATAAGATACCATAAACAGACTATGATAAACTGAGATAAAAGAATTAGTTGATATCCCTCATTTATAAAAAGCTTCCCCCTACCCCACCCTCAGCACACACACAAAAGACAAAGTATATAATCAAATGCTATTCCAAGAAGAACTACAAGTATCAATAAATGTATGAAAAGATACTTGACCTCACAAACAGGAGAATTCATTATTATATTTTAAATTAAAATAATGAATAGCAATTATTTTTAAAAAATCTGTAATACCTAGTACAATATGCCAACAAGGTTAAGGGGAAATGGGTATTTTTCCCCCTAAAAAACAGGTTCGTTGAAATATAACTCATATACCATAAAATTCACCCTTTAAAAGTACAATTCAGGGGTGGGATGTGGGAGGGAGGGGACATATGTATACCTATGGCTGATTGATGTTGATATAAGGCAGAAACCAACACAATTCAGTTCAGTCACTCAGTCATGTCCGACTCTTTGCGACCCCATGAATTGCAGCATGCCAAGCCCCCCTGTCCATCACCAACTCCCGGAGTTTACCCAAACTCATGTCCACTGAGTTGGTGATGCTATCCAAGCATCTCATCTTCTGTTGTCCCCTTCTTCTCCCACCTTCAATATTTCCCAGCATCAGGATCTTTTCAAACGAGTCAGTGCTTCGCATCAGGTGGCCAAAGTATTGGAGTTTCAGTTTCCACATCAGTCCTTCCAATGAACACTCAGGACTGATCTCCTCTAGGATGGACTGGTTGGATCTCCCTGCAGTCCAAGGGATTCTCAAGAGTCTTCTCCAACACCACAGTTCAAAAGCAGCAATTTTTCGCCACTCAGCTTTCTTTATAGTTCAACTCTCACATCCATACATGACTACTGGAAAAACCATAGCCTTGACTAGATGCACCTTTGTTGGCAAAGCAATGTCTCTGCTTTTTAATATGCTGTCTAGGTTGGTCATAACTTTTCTTCCAAGGAGTAAGCATCTTTTATTTCATGGCTTCCAGTCATCACCTGCAGTGGTTTTGGAGCCCCAAAACATAAAGTCTGTCACTGTTCCCACTGTTTCCCCATCTATTTGCCATGAAGTGATGGAACCAGATGCCATGATCTTAGTTTTCTGAATGTTGAACTTTAAGCCAATTTTTTCACTCTCCTCTTTCTTTCATCAAGAGGCTGTTTAGTTCTTCTTCACTTTCTGCCATAAGGGTGGTGTCACCTGCATATCTGAGGTTATTGATATTTCTCCTGGCAATCTTGATTCCAGCTTGGGCTTCCTCCAGCCCAGCGTTTCTCAGGATGTACTCTGCACATAAGTTAAATAAGCAGGGTGACAATATACAGCCTTGACGTACTCCTTTCCCTATTTGGAACCAGTCTGTTGTTCCATGTCCAGTTCTAACTGTTGCTTCCTGACCTGCATACAGATTTCTCAAGACGCAGGTCAGGTGGTCTGATATTCCCATCTCTTTCA